TAGCTAGTTACTCAGGAGACTGAGGTGGGAGGATTTCTTGAGGCTGCAGTGAGTTATGATCACCACTGCATTCCAGCTTAGGCAATAGAGCAAGACACTATCTCTCACAGAGTCAGACGAGAGAGAGCTCATTTACAAAGAGATAGAGGAGAGAAAGAGAGAGAGAGAGAGAGAGAGAGTGTGTGTGTGTGTGTGTGTGTCACTCTGTTACCAAGGCTGGTCATGAACCCTGGCCTCAAGAGATCCTTCTGTGTCAGCGGAGATCCCTTCTCTTAGAAAAGAAGAAAGAAAGACAAAGGTCTGGCATGGTGGTTCATGCCTGTAATTCCAACATCTTGGGAGGCTGAAGCGGGAAGATTGCTTGAGCTCAGGAGTTGGAGACCAGCCTGGGCAACACAGAGAGACCCAGTCTGTACAACAAAATTTTAAAAATTAGCCGGGCGTGGTGGCGCGCGCCTGCTGCCCCAACTGCTTGGGAGGCTGAGGTGGGAGGATCGCTTGGGGCCACGAGTTGGAGGCACCAGTGAGCTATGATCTGGCTAGTGCACTCCAGCCTGGACAACAGAGATTCTCTCTCTGCCCAGGGCAGTGAAGTACTCGGGCCTCCAACAAGCATGTGTAGATATATATTTGCTGAATCGATTTGCTGCACTCTGTTATAGCGCTTGACTTATGGATTCTTTCACTAATTAATTAATCTCGTTATAAGTGTTTACTGAGCAGTTGTTACAGGCTGTGCATTAAGAGAGTTGCCTTTTGAGGCCCAGGTTGGGCGGACAAGGGGCGTGGCTTTAGTGGTTCCCGCCCCCGACAGCGAGGCCCAATCAGACCCGCGAAGGGGGTGGAGTTCCGCCCTCTTGGTCGCGGCCGGCCCGGAACTGGGGTTACGGAGGCTATCTGTGCTTCCGGTGGATTCCCAGGGGCTGCCGGAGTTGTGGACTTAGCCTCCCAGACTGCTCTGGGAAGATGTTCTACCATGTGAGCAGGGCTCAGGGTGGCAGCAAGGTCTGGGTGGGAAGGAGGAGCAAAGCCAGGCGCCGGCGCAAGGGGCTCCTTCTTGCCCGCTAACCTCCCAGCGCCTGGCCTGGTCGCCATCCCACTTTTCTCCGCAGATCTCCCTAGAGCACGAAATCCTGCTGCACCCGCGCTACTTCGGCCCCAACTTGCTCAACACAGTGAAGCAGAAGCTCTTCACCGAGGTGGAGGGGACCTGCACCGGGAAGTGAGTGCCGACCTCACCGCGCAGCCGGATCGCGCACACCGGGCGCTATGCTTGCAACCCCTCCCCAGCTCCTGCTCCTCCTGCCACCCACTCTGGGGACCTCTCTCACTCTCTCAGGCTGCCAGTTGCCTCCTGCTTTGGGTTCCCTCGACGCCCTCTGCAATGCTGGCCGATAAGACTTCCTTCCCTCAGTTGAAATTGGTCATTCATTTACTCCTCAAACATGTTAAAAAATCCTTGCTGTGTGCCAGGACCCGTGTTGGGCTCTGAGAACAAGATAGAATGAGACAAGCCCTCGTGGAGCCCACAGTGTAATTACTGTTCCTGTGTCTGCTCTCCCTCTGTCATTTTGCTGGTTTTCTCTTATCTCCTGTGCCCAGGGACCACATACAATGGGCCTCTATATATTCTCAATGAAGGACCAGAAAAAGCAGATCGAGAGTTGGGGGAGGAAGGAAGAAGCCTGGGACTTGAACATCTCTGGGCTTTGCACAGAGGGGCCTCTCACAGGGTGGTATTAATGACCCAACCCAGGGCAGTGGAGTTACTTGGGCCTCCAGCATCAGAAAAACCTGGGGTGGTTCTTGAACATGCAGATTCCTGAGCCTCATTGTTCCCTACAGAATCAAGATTCTCTGGGGCAGACCTGAGGATCTACTTTTTTTTTCTTTTTCTTTTTCTTTGAGATGGAAGTCTCACTCTCACCCAGGCTGGAGTCCAGTGGCACCATCTCGGCTCACTGCAACCTCTGCCTCCCGGGTTCAAACCATTCTGCCTCAGTCTCCCAAGTAGCTGGGATTACAGACGTGCATAACCACATCCAGCTAATTTTTGTATTTTTAGTAGAGATGGGGTTTCTCCATGTTGGCCAGGCTGGTCTCAAACTCCTGGCCTCAGGTGATCTGCCTGCCTCGGCCTCCCAAAGTGCTGGGGTTACAGGCATGAGCCACCGTGCCGGGCCAGAGTCTGCATTGTAATAAGATGATTCTCAGGCATCCCAAAGATTGAGACCTGTTGGCTCAAGGACTCCAGCCTTCTTGGACATTTATTGTGAAATTACCAGAGCAGCATTTGGCCTTATACATACTGATCTGTGTTCTATGTCCTCTTGGTCATTAAGCTCTGGGAACTGAGGTGCTATCAACTTGTCCTTTTGTTCTCCCCGACCCTACTCCCAAAAGCTTAGTGACTTTTATTGCAGAATCGGTAGAGGCTCTTGGACACAAAATGCCTTTTGTTTCTCCTCTTCCTTGCAGGTATGGCTTTGTAATTGCTGTAACCACCATTGACAATATCGGTGCTGGTGTGATCCAGCCAGGCCGAGGCTTCGTCCTTTATCCAGTTAAGTACAAGGCCATTGTTTTCCGGCCCTTTAAAGGAGAAGTCGTGGATGCTGTTGTCACTCAGGTCAACAAGGTGAGACCATACATAGGGGAGCCAGTGGGGTAGTCTCTTGGAAGATGTCAGTTGGGTCCTGGCTCCACTTGATAACTCTGTGCCTTCAGCTAAGTCACTTTATTTTATTATTTTTTTTTTTTTTTTGAGTTTTGCTCTTTAACCCAGAGTGCAGTGGCACGATCTTGGCTCACTGCAACCTCTGCCTCCTGGGTTCAAGTGATTCTCCTGCCTCAGCCTCCTGAGTAGCTGGGACTAAAGGCGTGTGCCACCACGGCTGGCTAATTTTTTTTTTTTTTTTTTTTTTTTTTAGTAGAGATGGGATCTTGCCATGTTGCCCAGGCTGGCCTTGAACTCCTGAGCTCAGTATGCCCACCTCAGCCTCCCAAAGCACTAGGATTACAGGCGTGAGCCACCATGCCTGGGCAGTAACTTTACTTCTTGTGCTGCACTTTAAAATTGTATGGTAATCTCGCCCTGTGTGACTCAGAGGGCAAGGGAGTCAATATAAATAGTCATAACAATAAAAGCCTGCATTGACTGAGTAGTTACTCTGGGCCAGGTAATGTGCAGAGACTCACAGTGATTTTACAAGGTGGGTGCTTTTTTACAGAAGCTGAAGCTTAAGTTAAGTGTACTGGTCAAGATCATGTGCCCAACGGGTGTTCAAATCTTTTTTTTTTTCTTTTGAGACAGAGTTTCACTTGTTAACCAGGTTGGAGTGCAATGTCATGATCCCAGCTCACCACAACCTCCGCCTCCTGGGTTGAAGCAATTCTCCTGCCTCAACCTCCCAAGTAGCTGGTACTGCAGGCGTGTGCCACCATGCCCAGCTAAGTTTTTTTTTTTTTGTACTTTTAGTAGAAACGGGGTTTCACCATGTTGACCAGGATGGTCTCGATCTCTTGACCTCGTGATCCACCCGCCTCGGCCTCCCAAAGTGCTGCAATTATAGGCGTGAACCACCACACCCAGCATTTTTTTTTTTTTTTTTGAGATGCAGTCTTGCTCTGTTGCCCAGGCTAGGGTTCATTGGCTCAATCTCCGCTCACTGCAATCTCTGCCTTCTGGGTTCAAGCGATTCTCCTGCCTCAGCCTCCCGACTAGCCGGGATTACAGGCATGTGCCACCACGCCCGGCTAATTTTTTGTATTTTTAGTAGAGATGGGGTTTCACCATGTTAGCCAGAATGGACTTGATCTCTTTACCTTGTGATCCGCCCGCCTTGGCCTCCCAAAGTGCTGGGATTACAGGTATGAGCCACTGCGCCCAGCCCAGCTCTTTACTACTTTGAAATGAAAGTTTAGGCAGGCACTGGTACCTCACGCCTGTAATCTCAGCACTTTGAGAGGCTGAGGCAGGCACATCACCTGATGTTGGGAGTTCAAGACCAGCCTGGCCAATATGGTGAAACCCTGTCTCTACTAAAAATTCAAAAATTAGCCAGGCATCACATGGTGTGTGTGTGAGTATAGTCCCAGCTACTTAGGAGGCTGAGGCATGAGAATCACTTGAACCTGGGAGGTGGAGGTTGCAGTGAGCTGAGCTTCTACCACTGCACTCCAGACTGGATAACAGAGCGAGATTTTGTCTCAAAGTAAATACATAAATAAATACAAATGAAAGTCTAAAAAAACAGAGAAAAGGGCTGGGTGCATTGGCTCATACTTATAATCCCAGTGCTTTGGGAGACAGTAGTGGGAAGATTGCTTGAGCCCAGGAGTTTGAGACCAACCTGGGCAA